ACTCCCGGGGCGGGGGGGGGGGGGGAGAGAGCCTTGTCCTTCCGCGTCATTGACGTTACATCCGCAATGCAGCAAAACAGACAGCTAGGCAATTACCGACAAATGCAGGAAGTGGAAGGAGGTCCAGAGTCGGATTCGAACGTCTGTGACCTCCACCATAGAACCACACATGTTTGATACAGATACAGGCTTGAGGGACACACAGTCACACACACCACCACCAACTCAGGCGCCACGCGGGAATGTAATGCCTTTTTCTCGGTTTCCCGTTCTAATAAGGCAGCGATTCGCCGCAGCTCGGCTTACCAGAAGCTCAGCATACCAGGTCAGCCAGGGACCGCTCGTCGGTTCTTCTCTCTACAATGCTAGTTCGTAGGCTCTCCCAACATTGTTCAGGTGGCCATAGGGGGCAAACGTTGTCCCAGGGCGCCTATAGCAACTGCGGGAAGAGTCCCGAGCTAGCCGGGGTTCTTACCTTACAACCTTGCTGAGACTGGATGGCTTCAAATGGTCCAGGACTGCGAAACATTTGTACATCGGCCGGTGGGGCGTTGCTATCGGCCGTAGGCACAGCGGGCCGATGTGGGCAAAGGATAGGGATAGGGATGGTTTCCAAGGACATTCTTCGCAATGGGGACTGGCGGCTTTGCTCCACGTCGTCCGATCGCCTAGACGAAGCCATCAGAGCTGCCGGCAACTGTCTTTGTGTCAAAGGCTCCGAGGATCCTATTCCGCACACTATCCGGCGGCAGTGGCCGCGTGGGCCTCCAGGGGCACGGACAGTCATGGCTGGCGCTGGCCTAGACCAGCTTTCATCCAACACCACACGGGAGAACAAGCACCCCGTGGCGCAATATTCAGTCAATGAAGTGGGATATGGCGGGGTAGCCCAGCTTTCTCTATCTCCTCTCCTCCCCGGACAGGACATTTATGCACCAAGCCAATGGCCTTGACCTCGTACGTAGCGGACGCTCCCCGCGCGTCGTTCTACTGGCTGAAGCCGAACAGGACGTCAGCACATCGAGGCGTCGGCGACCAAGGCTTCCAGAGCTGCTTTACCGAAGCTCGTTTAAGTATTCGCTCCTCCCCTCCAGCCCTCCCCGGGCAGAAGCACCGGACAGGACCCGGGCTGGTTTTATTAGTCACCTAGTGTCCGTTGCGGAAGAAAATTACTGGAAACCGGTGAGGCGGACGAAAGAGGTGCGTATTCCGTGCTGCAGCAAGGTATCTCAAGCCAGCCAATCAAGATGCTTGGCCCGGTAACTCAACAATGCAAAGTGGTCAGACTTGAGCAAGGGGCCAAGGACAGGACAGCGAGGCTGAAATGCACAAAAGGCCCTCAATCATGCCTTACATGTTTCAATCTCTCGTGACCAGGTTTAGAATCCGAGAGGCGTGAAGGTTCGGCTCCGACCATACTGTGCCCTTACTACTCCGTAAGACGGGACCGAACCGTTTATTTAGGGCGTCTTCTATTGCCCCGAAAAGGCACAGGGTGTCTCGCAGCTTATGGCTTGTGTAAGCCCCCGTATCTTGGCTTGCCAACCGCGCGCTGGTGGCTCGATCTTGGCGTGATCGAAAGGAGAGTGGTAGTGGTGGTGGTGGGTGGAGAATTCCAAATCGTGGTCCGAGGTCAACCAGACGAGACATGCTCATCCCATCTCTCTTAATGTCGCGGCCCGGACAACCCCATTTCGCAGACGTCTCCGAAAGGCTTCACACTACTCCATGCTTCGTACGCAAGCAGATCTCCCGGCAACACAACTTCGAAAGCGTAAGACGCCGGTTCACCGAACGAACGGGTGCCGATTTAGCACCACGCTAGGGAGTGCATGGTGCATGCAAATCAGATTCCCGGGAACGAACGACGAAGCTCACCAAGCAACAGGGTCCGCACGAGGAGGGTTGGGGGCCAAATATGTCCACTCCTCGCCAATAACCCCGGGCTGAGTCCGCCATGCGCCGCCTTGTAGGGCTGACGATCGACTGAAAAGGGCAAAGTAAGCACAGTCGAGTGGTTTGCAGGTTGGCTACATGGATATAGGGGGCGCAAGGTGTTACAGTCGTGCCTGTACGGGAGTAGCCAAACTTGTGGCAGAAGAAGCTGTGCCAAAAAATTGCCGCGGCCGGTGACTAAATGTGGATTGTGCCGGATACGCCGCCTGCTGGGCAATTTGTGTCTTCCTTTTGGAAGCCCCGGAAGATGCCTATTTCAGCCAAAACGTGGCATGCGATGTCAGATGCACTATGAAATGCAACCATTGACGGGACCAACCGCCAAGTCGTGTTGGTAAGATGACGCAGAAAACGGTTCCGGGTCCCGACACACTGGTCCAACAGACACGTGTTTGTGTTGTGTCCGGGGTGTACGCATGTGTCCTTTTCCTCTTTTGTCCTTCGTCTGATACGAAGTGATGTGCGTGGGGAATGCTTGTGTTTTAAAGTTTGTTCATTCCCATGATTTATTGTTGGTGTTGGTCTATATCTGAGCGACCCTAGCTTCTATTAGGGTTGGATTTCTCAGCTAGAAATCAAGGCAGACAGATTGCTGGTTGTTCGCTCCAGCCAACACCCGCATCCGTAAAAGTCACTGTATTGTATTTACTGAAGGCACGTCATCTATGCCTGTAGAGCCATATCTTCTCTAGCTGCACCGCTGCCCTTCTTCCAGCTCTCGGTGTGGTCTATCTGATCCCTGACGCGACTCTTCCGCCCAGGCATCCCCCAACCGCCACCACCTGGGGTGCATACGATGATCCGATCGCCAGCCTTCATTGCCGCGCTGTTCTTGGCACCCATGTTGATGTAGCGTTCTTCGTATTCCGCTTCCTCCGTCTCGTCGTTGGAATGCGGTTCACGGAACTGCTTGAGAGACTTCTCCCAGTCTGTCTTTTCGACGTTGCGAACCCACAGGTTCAGTCCGCACTCGCCGTCTTCTCCGCCATTCATGCCATACGGATGGTATACGCGCCGTTCACTGAGGATGGATACCTGCAGGGGAATCCGGAATTCAATATCCCGGATGACGCCGTCGCCGCCACGGTGCTGACCGTTGCCCCCGGAGCCCTTGCGAATTGAAAACTCACGCAACAGCACGGGATATCTGCGCTCGAAAATCTCCGAGTCCGTGATCCGGGTATTCGTCATGTGAACGTGAACGCCAGATGTGCCGACCCAGTCGGGGCCGGCGCCGCTCCCCCCCGCAATAGTCTCGTAGTATCCGAAGCCCCGTACGGCCTTTGACCCGGACACGTTGCCGCCGAATCCAAAGGTAAGGTTGTTGCAGCAGCCTTGGCTGGCGGCGCAGGCCTCAAACGCTTTGAGGATGACGTCTGTGATGCGCTGGCTGGTAAGCACGTTGCCGCCTACGACGGCTGCGCCGGGGGCGGGGGACAAGATGGATTTTGGCGGGATTCTGACGTTGATGGGGCGGAGGCAGCCTTGGTTCAGGGGGATGTCTTCGGATATCAGGCACCTGAGACAGTATATGATGGCGCTGTAGGTGATGGCTTGCGGGGCGTTGACATTGCCGTATACCTGGGGTCCTGTGCCTGCAAAGTCAAAATCGGCGCTGCCTTTATCCGGGTCGATAGTAATCTTGAGCCTGATTGGCGCTCCTTCGTCCATGTAGTCGACGGCCTCGAGATTTTTGCCTTTGAATCGTTTGTAGATGTCTTTGAGGAGGTTACGGACGCAGAGCTCGGCGTTCCTTTGAATGTTGACCATGTAAAATTGAACAGTCGGTTCTCCATACTCCTTAATGAGGCCTTCGATGAGGGAAATGCCCTTTTGGTTGGCTGATACTTGGGCCCGGAGGTCGTTGATGTTGTCAGCAAGTGTCCGGGTGCCGCTACAGCCGGGATGCCGGGCTGGCTCGTCGTAAAAGAGCTCAATGACTCTCTTCTCGTCAAATTTACCCCCGCTGACGAGCTTTTCGCTGATAATGGCGGCACCCTCCTGGTATAGCTCGCGGGAGTGGGGGGGCATGCTGCCGGCGGTGATGCCCCCAATGTCGGCGTGATGTGCGCGGGATGCCGCGTAAAAGAGGATGTTTTTGCCGGTCTCGTCGAAGGCGGGCATGATCAAGGTGACATCTGGAAGATGTGTGCCTCCGTACGAAGGATGGTTGGATATGATAACGTCCCCCTTTTCGAGCCTGCCTTTCCAGATCTCAGCTTGTCGCCGGACACAAGTTGACATGGAGCCGAGATGGACGGGTAGATGGGGCGCGTTTGCGACGAGCCCGCCTGTAGAGTCGAAGATGGCGCAGGAGAAGTCGAGGCGTTCTTTAACATTGGTGCTGACACTGGTCTTTTGCAGGGCCCGGCCCATTTGTTCGGCAATGGCCATGAATCTGTGGCCAAAAATACTCAGCATGATGGGGTCGACTTCACGATTAGCGTTGTCTCGATGGTATCTATAGTATAATATTAGCCTCTTACTTTAGATCAGATGTTTTGGGAGGGGGAAGTGACACCGCACCCTTCTTCTTTACCTCCTCCTTTCTCATTTTCCAAGATGACGTGAGTTTCCGTGACGAGCGCATTAGTTTTGGGCGGTACCACAATGGTTTGCGTGCCATCCGCGAGCATAGCTGGACCTTTGATCACGTCCCCGACATCCAGACTCTCCAACTTGTATACAGGGGTCTGCTTTCGTCCACCCTCAAAATAAACTTCTTTTGTGCTCGTCTTCTTGTCTTCCACTACGTCCTGACGTTTGATAGTCTTCAGCTGCTGATCAACTGTCTTTTCTTTGTGACGGAAACTCTTGCCGATGCCACGAACTCGAACATCATCAATGATTATGTCTCTGTCATCCAATGTAAATCCGAATTCGTATCTGTGGTGCCTGACAAATGCTTGACCGAACTGCCAACCTTTGCCCTCGAAAAGCTGCTTGGCTTCCTCGTCAGTGGGCTTGACAATCATCAGAGCAGATTCAGTACCCCTGTATCGCATGTTGAGATATTCTTCGAAAACAATCTCATTATCACCGAAGCCCTGGTCTTTGAGAGAGGCTCGGGACTTTTCCTTTAGTTTCTCCATTTTCGCTTGTAGTTCACTGACAGTCTTGCCGTCATCTTTCCAGACGGCAGAATCAGGTTCTTGGCGCTCGTCGACTACATCCGCGAGAGCCATGCCGTAAGCTGAGAGGACCGAAGAATAGCGATGCACAAGAATTTGACTGATTCCCAAGGAATCAGCTATGGCAACGGCGTGCTGGCCACCGGCACCGCCAAATGTTGCCAGACGGTGCTTGGATGAGTCGTGGCCCTTGGCTTCCGTAATAGACCGAATCGGTCTTGTCATGGTCTCATTGGCGACTGTCAGAAATCCGTACGCTACCTCATCGGTGCTCAAACTTTTCCCGGTTTCTCGGTTCACCTGATCTGTAAGTTCCTGAAGGACCTTCCTGCTTGCCTCTGGGTCCAAACCTTCGTCCTCATTCTTTCCAAAAATCTTCGGGAAGAACTCAGGCAACAAACGACCCAGGTGCAGGTTGGCGTCAGTTACAGTGGCAGGACCACCTTTACGGTAGCAAGCCGGACCAGGGTGAGCGCCAGCAGATTCTGGCCCGACCACAAAGAGTCCATTGCGGAAGAACAGTCTTGATCCGCCTCCAGCTGCCACGGTGTTGATATCAAGCTGAGGCGACTGAATTGTTACACCTGCTGTGGTAGTCTCAAATACGTGCTCATATCGACCTTCGCCATAACGTGAAACATCCGTACTTGTCCCTCCCTAGGAAAAAAGGTCAGTACCATTTGATAGCTACCGACTCGAG